ACTAATTTAGTAATTGATTAATTCTTAACTGGAATATAGGGTCACTAAAATGTGCCTTTAGCCCACAGAGCGACTCACTTAGAGCAGGAATTATAACCAAGACTGTAATTTTTTTTTTACCATTTTGACTTTAATATAAAAAAAAAAAAGTTTTGTCTGTCTGTTTCTGTTTCACCTGGTTTAATTTCGTAAATAATTTTCTTAAAGAAACCTTTGACTATCTGATTATTATTTGATTCATTGAAAAAAGAATCGACATATTAATCAATTTGCAAAATAATCATTAGTTGCAGCCCTAATTTTATGGCAACTTTCCAAACACGTTTCTTCCATCATGCAGCACTGAAGGGCAGCTGCTTCACCCTGAGGCTGCCCTGCATCATTTAATCTGGGTTTCCTACAATCATATAATGTTTCTATTATATACAAGTGGGTTTTTAATACTAAAGGATTAAATGTAACACAACCTTTTATCATCATCCTATATTGCTCACTGTCTGACTGTTTAAATAGCTACTTATGTCTATTTTCTTTTTTTAAGTGACACCATCTACAAACACAACACTAAGAATGAGCCTAAGTTTATTTAGATATAAATCACTTTTAACAATTATAAAAGACAATATAACACTATCTTATCTGCAATTTAATAGTACCCAAAATAAACAGCCAGATTCAAGCATTATTTACCACTAATTTACTTATGGACCGTGTGGAAATCTAGAAAAATAGAATCAATGTAAATAGAGTTCCTCTGTTTGTCTTTATCCTATTTCTAGAACTAGAAGTCAATTAAATTAAACTATTTTTAAGTGGGAAACAAAAAACAGCAGATCTTTAGCATCCTTCTCGTGTTGTTATGATCTAGAAAAGAAATAAAACCTGCTATTTATACCTGAACTGCCGTCAAAAAATAGAAATATTGGTGAAAGGGAATCAGAAATGTTGATAGTTTACAGTCTACAGCAGTTTTCTGAACTCCTGTATGACTCAGAATATTTAGTTTTAGAAAAGCAATCCTAACGTTGGTTACTTTCATTTCTCAAGTTGCACAAATCCAAACTCTCTCCTGCTTCTTTAAAGAACTGCAATCAGAAGCTTTTGCCTGTTTTAGCCTAGATAATATTTAGTTTTGGTAACCGCCGTATTCTAGCATCATTTTTTACATTTTATTTCGCTCTTTAAGCGCGCGTACACATACAGAGGAGCTGCAAGAGGAAAAGAAGCAACTGCTGCAACAACGCTGTATAGTAAATCATAAACATGTTGTTCACATCTAATTATTGGTAGGGACAAGTAGGTTGATCCAAAATGTTGGTATGATGGTTGGTATGATCCCTATGCAAACCTGTGCCCATGGCAGAGATTTTTGGATTCATCACTGCTCCCCAAGATGCCACTCCTGTTGTTCCCCCTCTAAATTGGCCAGAAAGAGTAATGATTCTTGATAACCAGTTTCATCCAAACCATGCACAGATGCAACAACTACAGGATGTGGACCCTCTGGAAGTTTATCAATAGATATACTGCAAACTGTGATTGACATTTTGGAGCAGTAATGTATTATCCACATTGAACTGCTTAATGGTAAAACCACTTAACTGCATTTCACCACAGGATGTTTGGTTGTTGTTTTTAGAAGGTTAGGCATGGAGACTACATTTCACTCCCTTGTGATCTGCTAAACCGTTGATTTCTTCACATGGAAGTATTGGTTTTGTATTTAAAGAAATAATAGTGTATCTCTTTCAGTTTATTGACTACCTTTGTTCATCCAAACCCTGGGTTTAAACATTATACTGTAACATTTTTTTCTGAAAGTACATGCGGTTTTGTTTGATGTTCATAAATTGACAAAATAACTTTTGATTATTTGTAATAACAAAACAAAAAAAAAGATACAGGATGATGTCATCATTGTGGAGAAATGGAAACAATAGAACATGTATTAGAATGTGGGGCATGTGAAATAGAAAAAAAAATGAATTAGAAAACATGAAAGAAAAATTAAATCTCCAAATATTTTCCTGAAAGATTCTGAAGTAAAAGTATAAACATTTTTATATATGTATATATTTTTTTATTAACACAAGTGACAAAATTTAAGGCTGAAATAAATGAAAAGATAAATACGTTTTTCTGTATCAATTTCCATACCGGTAGGTGGCAGTAATGTGCACCTTCAGTTTATCCCCTACTGAAAAAGACACTTCAAGAAGCAGAAGAAGGTAAGAGAAGAATGTGGTATGCACTGCAGGCAAACCACCCCCGGCTTTCAAGAAGTAGTTTAACCCTACTACTCAGCAGCCAATGGGAAAAAAAGCACACTCACCAGCTGAAAATGGAAGAGTGGCCAAATGGCTTAAAATGACATGAAATCAACGCGTAGATGACGCGTAGATGACGTGTATTTGACGTGTTGTCAACGCGTAGTTGACGCGTTCTTTACGCGCTCTCAACGTTTTAACTACGTGTGGCCGATTAAAAGGCGAAGACAACGCGTTGACAACGCGCAAACAACGCGTTAAAATGTGACAGTTTGCGCGTTTTTACAAGTACATCCCGCTGCGCCCACATCAAGGGTAGCCATATTGGAAATGCAAGCCCCGCCCACACAAGGACAGCCATACTGGAAATGCTGGCTCTGTTCGAAAACCTAGGACGCATCCTTAGAAAACCGGATTCGAAGGCCGATTACGTCATAGCGCGGCGCCGAGGTCTGGTCGGATTCCAAGAGTCCTCGTTATGCGGCCTTAAAATGCGTCCTTCTTTTTGCCCGATTTGAAGGACGGGTCCAATGTATCCTCGGTATCCTTGGATATCCCAGGATTCATTGCGAGACCAAGCAAGCCGGGATTTGCTCCGTGATCAGAGGAAAGGTCACTTGGCACCGAACAGTGGTGAAAATTGGAAGTTCAGTTTAATATAATACAAGTCATTTAATAGTTCCGTCTGAGATGAATGAAAAATAGTTGTTTTAATGGTTATTGAGTCAGATATGTGGCGGTAATGTTTGGTTTATCTAAAGGTTTTAATCTGTTACTGTGTAAATGGGTTTGGCTGTAATTAAAGGACAGATTCTAATATATCTGCAGGGTGGGGACTATGAATCTGATAGGATTTTTATCTTTTTATTGCTGTTTTGCACAATATGCTTAACTACGTATTTTTGTTGTTGAATATTAGAGATTTTGCAGATATATTTTTTATAAATACATTGTTTAGATTTACTTGTATCTTTCTACCCCTTTTATAGAATAGAATAGAAAATCCCTTTATTGTCCCACAATGGGCAAATTTACAGCAGCAGAAAGATTATTAAAAATGGTCACACAAATGTGGACCTTAGAAAAATTTATAAGAATAACATAATAGGGAAGAGTTAAAATATAAACAATAAAATACTAGAAAGTGTTTCAACAATATAAAACTGGGGAATAAATAACCAATATACAGCTATGGACATTTTTTACAGTAATGGATATTTGAAAATAGCAGCAACATCAGAGATGTGCAAAATGACAGCAGCATGTTATTTAACTGACTAAGGTTTCTATCATTACATTTGACTTTATTTGTTCCTGCTCCCGGTGGTTGGAACCTTTATTCCACTCTGGATTCTTGTGAGTGTAGTCTTTGTTCACTTCACAATAAAAAAGAAATAAATAAACAGTTTTGAAAACTTCTGTATTCATTCTTTTCCTGCTTTGTGTGTCAACGTTTACGGTTGCTAAGCAACAAGGGTAGACCTGGTCGAATTCACAGCCTAAACTCCTCTGGTCTCCTTATTTTCAAGGACTTCGAAGGATCCAGTCTAGGTAGACCGCGTCCTTGGAGGACACGTCCTAGGTTTTTGAACAGAGCCGCTGACCCCTCCTGCCTTCTTCTTCTTCTTCTATTTTTTTTAATGGCGGTTTGCAAACAACTTATAGGTGCATTACCGCCACCTTCCAGAATGGAGTATGGATCAGACAAACTATTATATTCTTCCTAAAATACCCGTTCTTCTTAGAAAATTAAAAATACTCCCAAAAACTACATCCCCAGATGACCTTTGAAACAATTCCCTTATATCTAGTTTGTTTTTATTCCCGCCTAACTCTCTACGCAACATCTCTCTTTCCTGAGTATATTTATTACATTCTAAAAAAAATATGTTGGAAAGTTTCTAATTTCCAACAAATACAACACCCTGTATTATGCCTTTTCATTATTTTAAGAGTACTATTTAATCCTGTATGTCCGAACCTTATCCTAGATATATCTTCTTCTTTTTTAATTCTATTACATATTCTTGATTCTCCAACCTTTTTTTGAATACTATAATAAAATCGAGCATTCCCTCCTTTATCCCACTGTTCTTGCCATTTCTTCTTGAAATGCATTTTTATAATATTCTTTAACTCATTTTTACTAATGTTAATGTTTAAATCAACATCCTTTTTTACAGCACTCTTAGCAAGAGAGAATGATCCACTGTGGATGATGTTTTTTTTTTCTATATGAAAATATTTTTGAATAAAGTCACTGGATTAAACTAGTGTGTAAATTCTAACTATAACTACCTTCATCTTATCTGCTCAGCGGATCACTTGATCATGCGCCTCTGTCCCAGCCTAACGGCGGTAGTTTCATCTCCTCCACCCTTCATAAAGTCCGGCTTGATGTGTGCAATTAGACTTAGACTTCTTTATTGTCATGTGCTCCTCACCTGAGCTTCCATCACCCCCATCCGGTCTCCACTGTTGTTAGGCATACCTTAATCTTATGTTTGTAATATGACTATGTAACCGAGCAATTTGTTTTTCTATGTGCTTCCTTTATTACAAAAAAAGTAAAATAAATCTAATTCTGACTGGTAAAACAAACAACTTCACTGTATGTCAGGTTTGCAAATAAAAATTCTATTGATTCATTGAGTCATTGTTCAAAAATTTTAGGAAACATTTTATTTAAACATATAAAATATTGCACGTTCTTAACTTTGCTTGTATGTCAAATTTTAAAAAAAGGTTATGAAATTGTTAAACAACGCTGTTACAGTATATTTACAATCACTTTATTGGTTCCCTCTCTTTTCAACATCTTACAGCTACAATGTAACTTTGTCTGGAATAATATTGGAACAATATTTCTATAAAAACTAAATGAATGAATGAGCTATAGCAAAAGGAACATTCAAAAAGTTACATAATATTGAAACAACTCAAAAAGAATGACTGCACAAGTTAAAAGGCAAATGTGCTTCATCAGAAATGTTTTAAAATAGAAGGTCACAGAAAAAGACAAAAAAATCAAACAATGTGTGACAACAGACATGTCTGAAAGACTGGAAAACAAACTGATGCATTGATTATTGACATTCAGGGCAGTGTCCGGGTATGGCATCACAGTAGTACCTTGGGTACTCTCCTCGTCTTCCATTGCCGGTGAAGCCCACACAGTCTTTATATTGCCGGTTGCAAGAAGAACATATTACAACCGCAAAAGGAATTCGGTTTTCTGCCTTGAATGACTGTGAAAACTTTGCCCAATTGATCTCACCTATCAATGAAAATTTTATTTCATGTAGTTGAAATCTAATTTAACATGTTTTAAGTGGAAAAAAAGAGAAAAGGTCCTTACCATCCAGCCAAGCAAAGTGAGTTTTCTTCCTGAAAAGTGGGTCAGACACAATATCTTTAAAGTACTTGCAGGTCAATGCTAAGGTGAGGTAAGCTGAGTCTCCCTGTGCAAGTACCACCTCCTGGAGAACAGCTTGAAGTACACCCCAAGGGATCTGAAAAAAAAAAAGAAAAAGTTGCATTGCAGGACTGTCATACCAAAAAAATGGCTATGACACATATGATTATGAATAAATCTTACCTGTAAGATTGGCGGTATCCTTTGTACCTGCATGGTGAAGAGCATTAAACAATAATTAACACTTTATATCTCTCAGTATCTTATCCTTTCCATCCCTAATCATATAAAAAAATGCTGTCCAAATAATAGCTTTGTTTTTTTTTTAACATTTAGGGTTTTAGTGTCATTTGCAGATAAAAATATACAAATCAAAATTACTAGTTATGTGTAAATTTTAAAAATTAACCTCAATTTGTGCCTCGGTTGCTTTGGCATAGTTGTGGTCATCAGCACACAGAGTCTGTAAAAATACAGATATTTTGTAAGTGAAAGACAAATTAGAGCCCAAATAACAACAAAATTGCTTCAACCCTTTTAATTGTTCAATTCAATTAAATTTTATTTATATAGCGCCAATTCATGAAACATGTCATCTCAAGGCACTTTACAAAGTCAAAATCAATCAGATTATACAGATTGGTCAAAAAAAATTCCTATATAAGGGAACCAGTTGATTGCATCAAAGTCTCTTCAAGCAGCATCACTCCTGAAGAAGCGTAGAGCCACAGGGAGAGTCCTCTGCATTGTCCATGGCAGTGACAGTGGAAAGACAAACTCACCATTAACGGGAAGGAAAAACCTCTAGCAGAACCAGAACCAGGCTCTGAGCACCGTCGGCAGTGTTGTGCCTGAACGCGTTCATTGAACGAAAGTTCATGAACTCGTTCATATTTTGGGCGAACGTGAACTGAACGTACTGTATTACTGCCTGATGAACGTTATTGTGAACTCGTTCATTCTGGTGTCTGTGAACGGCACACTCTCTCAGTTCAACTCCGTTCAATAGGTTGCCAGATTTCTATAGAGCCCTCCAGGCGAAACCCCGGCTAAATCACACCGTAAATAGGCCTTAACATGTAGCGGGAAAAACACCCAATCTGGCAACCCCAGCTACCAGTGTCGTAGCCTACAGCCGCGTGCGTCATCAAAACAAAATGCAGCGTGGAAGCCACAGCAGCATGGAGGCGACCGTGGATGCGACAAAACAGCAGTATGATCACTAAAAACAGTTTTATGACCAGGTGGTCAGTGGATATGAAGATGAAATCTGACGCACAGTTTCAGTGTTACAACTGATAAAATAATTGCTGTCTGTGGTTCTACAGCAGGCTATGGTGTAATTGAGCAATATATGAAAAAAAAAAAAGAACTATGAACTAGTTCATTTTTTGGAACCGTGAACTTAGTTCAAAATTTTGAATTATGAACTATGAACTGAACTAGTTCATTTTAAAATGTGTGAACTGAACTTTGAACTAGTTCACGTAGTAGGGCTGGGCAAAAAATCGATTTAATCGATTTATCGATTTTGTAGTTTAAAAAGATTTTTATTTTGCAAACTCGAGTTTTTTGTCAAAATAGTTTTTTCGGACTTTTCCGCGTTTCTTCCTTGTGGGTTACCGTAGCGCAATATTATGAGCCAGCCCCCGCCCTGCGTAAACACAGTCAAAACAACATGGCAGCGTGTAGCAGAGAACTAACGTCAAAGAAAGGCACAGGTAATTCCGTAATTTGGAACTGGTTTGGTTTTGATGCAGCAGACCAAACACAGACGAAGCCTTGCTGCAAAATTTGTTCAAGGCTGTTGCTACTGGAAGCAGCAGTACAACAAATCTTTTCCAGCACCTGAGGAATAAACATCGCGAAGAATGGGAGAAGTGCAGCCGGCTCCGTAGCGAAAATGCCTCCTCTAGCACACCTGCTAAAAAGCAAACTACACTTCCTGAGAGCTTTACAAACTGTGTGCCTTATGATAAGAAGGGAGCGCGATGGAAGGCGATTACAGAGGCGATCACGTTTTATATTGCCACAGACATGCTGCCAATTTATTCTGTCGAAAAGCGAGGCTTTAAACACATGTTGAAAGTATTAGATGCGAGGTACGATGTCCCCAGTCGTAAGTATTTCGCCGATGTAGCGCTGCCTCACCTGTACAATACAACTCGGGAAAAGATCCGCAGTGAGCTGGAGGAGATGCAGTTTTACTCAGCCACAACGGACCTGTGGTCCAGCCGGACGATGCAGCCATATCTGAGTCTGACGGTTCACTACATCAACAATAGTTGGACTCTGCGCAGCATCTGCCTTCAGACAGCGTATTTCCCTGACAACCACACTGGTGAGATAATTGCCCATGGCTTAAAAGACGCTCTCAGCTCCTGGGGACTTTTGGAGGAACGACTCGTCTGCATGACAACTGATAGTGGCACCAATATCATAAAAGCCCTTAAGGACAACAACTGGCCCAGCTTGCAGTGTTTTGGCCACAGACTCCACAATGCTATAGGTAAGAGTTGGTGTAAGAATAAATAGGTGCACATACTTGCACATTGTAAAGTATATTTCAATAATATATATATTTATATAATATATAATATAATATATTTCATAATTTAATAGCCAGAATATGTTATATATTTCAACAGGTTTACACACAGACATAAATTCATATTTACAGTTTATCTTAGTTTATTTACATAAATAAACCTGACTTTTCCATAATCTTCAATGCATTCATTATACATTATGTATTAAACTGTGTTATAGCTATTAAAATTGTGATAAAAGTACAAAACAATTTTGAAAACTCACGTAATCAAATATATAGTTTGGAGTGACAAAGTATTCTAAATATCTTTTCACGTTTATTACAGAGAATGGTGTGAAGGATCCAAGGATCGATCGGGCCATAGGGGTCTGCAAAAAAGCTGTATCAGCCTTCTCCTACAGCTGGAAAAAAAGGCGAGACATGACAGAGGTGCAGGCTGAGCTTGGACTTCCCCAGCATCTTTTGATCTCAGAATCCCCAACACGTTGGGGGTCTCGTCAAAAGATGATTGAGCGCTTTCTTGAGCAAGAGAAGGCAATAACTCGTGTCCTGGGTGCAGACAAGAAAACGCGTCATCTTGTTCCCACGTGGCAAGATTTGGAAGTATTAGAAGCCACCAACAAAGCAGTGAAACCTCTCCAGGACTTCACTGATGGACTGTCAGGGGAATCATATGTCAGTGTGTCATGCATCAAACCAGTGCTGCATTTGTTTAAAACAAGTCTCCTCCTGCCAGAGGAGGAAGATTTGGAGCTAACAAAAACAATCAAAGCTAACATCATGCGTTACCTCGAAAGTAAATACTGTGATTTGGAGAAAGAGGAACTTTTGGACATGGCCACACTTTTAGACCCGAGGTTCCGTACAAAATACATTGATGCTAGCAAACTGGAAGTTGTCAAAAAAAGAGCAGTGTCTGAGATCGCTGCTCTCTGCAACTCTACCACAGAGGAAGCTGGTCCCTCAACTGTTCAAGAGAACACCCCGGCAAAAAAGAAAATGACTCTGGGTGCCTTCTTTAAAAACAGTGCACCATCCACCACGCCACACCCACAATCTGAGAAAACAAAAATTGAGACTGAGCTTGCAACATATTTCCTTATTCCAGACATAGAGCCAGACACAGATCCTCTTGAATGGTGGAAGCTGCATCAGCCAAACTTTCCAAGGCTAAGCTTACTGGCTAAAAAATATCTTTCTATTCCAGCCACTAGTGACCCCTCAGAGAGGCTATTTAGTGTGGGTGGGGGAATAGTTACCTGCAACCGGGCCTGCCTTAAGCCAGAGGTTGTGGACAGGCTCATCTTTCTTGCAAAAAATGTTTAGAATGAGCATGCACAATGTTTCAGAGATCTAACAAGCATGTGTTTTGTTGTTATAGATAAAAGTTTACATTTGTTCACTCTTTGAGCAGGCTTTATGTCTGCCACAGGCATGTTTAATTTTTTTATATTCACACTATACTGAGAAGATTTTATTTTTTCAATTGTAATGTTATATGTTACAAAATTTGTAATTATCTGATTTCTTGAACAGAAAATTTAAGCTATTGTAAGGTTACTTGAAGTTGCACTTTTACTTAAACCTGGGTTAAAGCTTGAAATTGTTGAATGACAGAGCCTTATTTACTTCTTGTTTTGGGATTCTACGCATCTTGACTCTTGAGTAGAATCATAGCAATAAAGTTGCACTTTTGACACTATATCTGATGTCTTCAGTCATTTTTAAGTGCATTGAAAAAAAAAAATCGAAAATCGAATCGAAACTCGAATTTTTCTTTAAAAATCGAAGATTTTTTTTTTTGGGCAAAATCGCCCAGCCCTATCACGTAGAAAGAGAACTTTCCCAACACTGACCGTCGGACCTTAGCACTGTGACCCTCTGCCTGAAAAGGGAAGTAGCTGCATTATATGCAGGCTGTCAGTTAAGCTTTTACATTTCAATAATTCCAGAAAACAAGTGTGCAAATCTGTAACAAAAATTATTTTAGATACACAGTCAATTTAAAATTGTTGATAAAGCTAACACAGCTGTTGACGAGGTCCATCACAGAATTAGACAATGTGAAAACTATATTGATCAATTATTCCACACCACTAACCTCAGATTCCTGGTTGCGCCTTCTCTTGAGCCTGAACACTGGAGTATAATTTCCATTCAACATCGTCTGGCACTCTGCTGTCCAATTTGCAAAGACCTGGCCATGTCTGCAAATGAAAATGTACTGTTACACTAAAGGAAATCATAGTAGTATATGGGCTATCTACCAAAAGGCAAGACATGGCCATGTGGAAAAGATGACATACCTGTCAAGGGATTTGTTCTCCAGTATCAACAGACACCACAACCTCCGCAAGACTGACATGTCATGCTGAAATTCAAAATGTTAAGTGTCAGTAAACAATAAAAGAACCAGGTTTTAATAGTGTCCTGTTAAAATACTGTACCCCTTTTTCCTGATCATGGTGCAAAGCCAAAGACCAGCATGATCTCTTTGCCTCTATCGATGCTACAGTCATGAGAACCGCACAGTGAGGCCCACATGGCATGCCTGTTGTTCAAGTGATATAGAAAAACAAAATATGATAACGCCTATGAATCAGACATAGACTATTCATGTGCTCCCTAAACATACCTGCTTTAACAGGGTCCACATTGGTTTTCACCTCATGTGTATGGTCATCAGGCAGATACTGAACACCTAAGATATGTTAAGAAAGTGGAAAACAAAAGTCAAAACTCAGATTAACGAAACTACACAAAAGACTCATTCAGTATCATACACTTTCAATCATTACAATACATAAGTACCAGCTTCAAGGGTGCCCGCCTCAGTCAATCGGTCTTGATTTGTGGATATGTCTGTAGATGGTGAACCTTTTATAATGAAATAACACAAAGTAAACAGAACCAGCATTCAGTGTTCAGCTTGGGTGCAGAAGGATATTGCACATGCACAGTATTATTCATACACTATATTGCCAAAAGTATTTGCTCACCTGCCTTGACTCACATATGAGCTTAAGTGACATCCCGTTCCTAATCCATAGGGTTCAATATGACGTCGGTCCACCCTTTGCAGCTAGAACAGCTTCAACTCTTCTGGGAAGGCTGTCCACAAGGTTTAGGAGTGTGTTTATGGGAATTTTTGACCATTCTTCCAGAAGCGCATTTGTGAGGTCGCACACTGATGTTGGACGAGAAGGCCTGGCTCTCAGTCTCCGCTCTAATTCATCCCAAAGGTGTTCTATCGGGTTGAGGTCAGGACTCTGTGCAGGCCAGTCAAGTTCATCCACACCAGACTCTGTCATCCATGTCTTTATGGACCTTGCTTTGTGCACTGGTGCACAGTCATGTTGGAAGAGGAAGGGGCCAGCTCCAAACTGTTCCCACAAAGTTGGGAGCATGGAATTGTCCAAAATGTCTTGGTATGCTGAAGCATTCAGAGTTCCTTTCACTGGAACTAAGGGGCCAAGCCCAGCTCCTGAAAAACAACCCCACACCATAATCCCCCCTCCACCAAACTTTACACTTGGCACAATGCAGTCAGACAAGTACCGTTCTCCTGGCAACCGCCAAACCCAGACCCGTCCATCAGATTGCCAGATGGAGAAGCGCGATTCGTCACTCCAGAGAACGCGTCTCCACTGCTCTAGAGTCCAGTGGCGGCGTGCTTTACACCACCGCATCCGACGCTTTGCATTGCACTTGGTGATGTATGGCTTGGATGCAGCTGCTCGACCATGGAAACCCATTCCATGAAGCTCTCTGCGCACTGTTCTTGAGCTAATCTGAAGGCCACATGAAGTTTGGAGGTCTGTAGTGATTGACTCTGCAGAAAGTTGGCGACCTCTTCGCACTATGCGCGTCAGCATCCGCTGACCCCGCTCCGTCAGTTTACGTGGCCTACCACTTCGTGGCTGAGTTGCTGTCGTTCCCAAACACTTCCATTTTCTTATAATACAGCTGACAGTTGACTGTGGAATATTTAGGAGCGAGGAAATTTCACGACTGGATTTGTTGCACAGGTGGCATCCTATCACAGTTCCACGCTGGAATTCACTGAGCTCCTGAGAGCGACCCATTCTTTCACAAATGTTTGTAAAAACAGTCTGCATGCCTAGGTGCTTGAATTTATACACCTGTGGCCATGGAAGTGATTGGAACACCTGATTCCAATAATTTGGATGGGTGAGCAAATACTTTTGGCAATATAGTGTATCTTCAAACAATTTCTATAACTTCATAAACATACCTAACACTGCTTAACCATAAGAATTTAGTGTTACTTCCTGGCCAAGTGTCTTCTTCAAGTTGTCCATAACAGCAGCATTTTTTAGGCAGTTGTAGTGGTGTAGAATGTTCCGCATTAGGAACACATGTGAGGATGGCGTCATCATGTTGAGAAAATGATTATTTCGCCTCATCCCTGAAAACAGCTGTTCGGCTGTCTGACTGTTGACCCAGCCACAGATCTCTGGACAAAGTTCCACTTTTCGCAGGACGTCACGCTTATCCTTTGTGTTGTCCTCATGAAAACGATCATACAAGGCGTAATGAGCGGACGATCCAGTGAGAGGATGTCCATCTGGGTCTGGCACCTTGTGTTTTAACCATGGCAAGTTCACCTTTAGTTCACCTTTAGCTGCCTGTGCAATATTGCCATCAGTGGCTTCACACAACCTGCCACCATGCGGCCAAAACGTTTGTGGCACTCTTTGGTTGGTGTGGGTTGCCAAACCAGGGGCAGAATCATACAGTGTGATGTTTGGAAAGTGTTTGAAGGACAGAAGAATGTCAGCATAATCACGTGGACTTTCTGCTCTGATATTGAATTTTACGGCATAGACCACAGCACAAGGGCAGGTTACTACTGCCCATCCACCTATGAGAAGGCCAAAAAGACAGAAGGAAAGAATAAAAGTGAAAAAAACCTTGTATAGGTTAATCAAATTTGCACACACACAGAGAACGTCTTAATATTATTATCAGTGTCATAAAATGGCCCTAAAACATAAAACAACGCATAAACAGTGCAAGTAGTGTGCATGTAAATTTACTTATTTGCCAGAAAGTTGTAGATACCTGAAGCTCCCCAAATCTGAGAGAAGACCTTGTCATAGCTGTCTCTGTTCTTCATTTCTTGCTGAAGCCTGCTTACAATGTCCATTCGTGAACCTCGGGGGTCCACACCACACTGACCACACAAGCTTCGTAGATCTGCCATCTATAAAACACAAATTATATACACACCATATTGTAGCTAGCATCAGTCACAGTGAACAGAAGTCATTGTCAGCCAAAGCTTAGGTGCAGGTAAAGTACAGCTTTCATACCTTGACTTTGAAAAGGTCGTCTGTGAGTCGGTCCTCTGTGACCGTCAGCTCCAACTCTTCCACAGGACTGTGTGGGGAATGCATTTTTTGGTATTCTGTATTGAATACGACATTGCCACTCCTGGTGTGGGGCCCTATCCAAGGATGACAAAGGGGTTTTCCTTGTTGCCTATGGGGGTGGGGCGGTTTGGGGATTTAGAGAGAGCACAGACATGATATTTGATAATAAATAAGGAAATGTCTCATTCCTATTTACAAGAAGACTATTGTTCAGCCAAGTCACCAAATCTGGCATTATGTAAATGAAAAAATAATGCTGCTGTTTTGGCGCATGACTACACTTTACGTTGGAAAAAGCAATAGTTTGTATACTCACTAGACACCAATCCCCGGGAAATCACTTCCATTTGCACCTTCTGCCAGAACTCTTCAGCATTCACCCTGCCATCAAAATCTGCTGGTGGTTCCTCTATATCGCTCACTTTCAAGAACAGTACAGTCATGACATAATCTGTACAAGACAAATATAATGTGCTTTAGAAACAGACACAAACACTTACCAGGCATGCTAAACACTCCTTTCTTGTGAAGATCCATAACCACAGTCACAGGATGATAGCCACATGACACGCATGCAAATGTGTAACTGTGGTCACACAAGGCCTCAAACGTCATATAAGCCTGAAGAATCTTCTGAGCTGATGGGAAACGTTTGCCCGATGTTTTCTCCGGTACCTCAACGACGCTACCAACAGCCTGGTGAGTCTGCAGAATCATTAACATTACATATAAATTTACTATGTGTTCTCGGCAAAATAGTCAAAATTAAAATGTTTCATATTGGCTATATCCAAGACAAAGGGGATTATTTGCCTACCTGAAGACTGTTTTGCAGGAAAAGGCAAAGGTGTATTGACAGTAGTGTATGGTTGTCAAAGTTGTGGACACCATCAGACCATTCCTGGTATCGGTAAACCAGGCCACACTTGTAGCACCACTTGGTATATAATGAAATTCCTGTGCATAATAATTGATGTATTAAATTTGAAAGAGTGTAGTTTTTTGTAGTACTTTAGTATGAAGTAAAATTACATTGAATTTACTATTTCCATTGAATTGGATAAGGTAAAGATGAAGCGGCAGAATGTCAAACATGCACTGCTATACAACATGCACAAACAAACACAGATACAGTATACAAGAAGGACCTACCTTCAAAGACATCTGTAAGGCTCACTATCTTTGCCTTTGAGGTGATTAGAGCTGGTTCACTCAGCATAGTGTGTTCTGGGCAATGACGGCAGAAGGTCTCTGATGGGACCAAAGCAGACGGGAATGTCTTTGTGTGGACTGCCTCACGTGGAAGTGGAACTGGGATTTTTTTTATTTTTGAAGATGTCCTGAACCATGTCCACAAGAGTTTGGCCTGTTGGTGGATAATGTGCATCGTCCTTCTCCAGCTCTTCACCTTCCATTTCTGCGCTCTACAGCAACATTCCTTGGTCTGCCTCAACACATTTAGCCCTCCTAAAAAGTGACTGCTCAGTTTGAAATAGATGCCACTTGGCCACGTACTTATGAATGCAAGACTGCCGTGGCTTTGCACATGGACAGTGCCAAGTTATCTTTTTGCAGTCAAAGCTGACCATCACACGACCAAGTCTGCTGTAGTACGTTATAGACGGCTCAAACACAGAGATAAATCTCTTAGAAGGAGGGCCTGAGAAGTTAACTTTGCAGGAGAGCGGCATTACAGCCTCAATGGCAGCCTTTTGCCGTGCCAGACACTGGTCTTTCCTGTCCCGCCCAAACCATTTCTCTGAGACCATCTGCTCTAGCACTTCCTCGGAAAGAGGAGAATCCAGTTGTGCCGCCGGAGGGCAATAGCAAATAGACTGGATATGTGGACATTCAAAAGATCTCAAATTGGAGCTTGCAGCACAATTCATATTAATTTTGCACACATCCAATTCACAGCACGTCATCTGATTTTCCCCCCATGTCCTCTTTATTACGTGAATTGGTGTGCTTGATGATGTAAATGACTTGGCAACAGCAAAAACACCATTGTCAAAATCAATGCACTGGCAGCACAGGTGGTGTTGAGCGGTTATGTCAGGTTTTACTACAGTGTGGCGTCTCTGCAGGTGCACCCGTAAATTGCGCCTGTTCAACTTCAATCCACAGTGTGGACATACCACTGACTCTTTGGCCTTGCAAATTGGCGGTGGTGGAGGAGGCAATGGCACTCGCAGGGAGAATGAGCCAGGTGCTGCAGAGGCTAGGGAATTTGACAAGGTGAAAGGAGCTGAAGACTGTGGTGAGGCCGAAAGCACCGTTGAATGAGGCAAGGGGGCGGGCGGTGGAGCTGGAGACTGTGATGAGGCTGAAAGCACCATTGAATGAGGCAAGGGGGCGGGGGGTGGAGGTGGAGAATGTGATGAGGCTGAAAGCACCGTTGAATGAGGCAAGGGGGCAGGGAGTGGAGGTGGAGACTGTGGTGAGGCTGAAAGCGCTGCTGAATGAGGCAAGGGAGCTGGAGACAGATGCCCCTTCAAGTGAATCTCAAATTGGTCCTTCCGTATAATGGTGTTGATGCAGTGCGGGCAATGAAAATGTGCAAACTTTCTGCACGGCCTACTGCATTTACAGATGGTAAATCCTGTAAAGAAAAAAACTAATGTTATACATACATCTGAAAGGCCAGCTATTCCAACATGTAGGAGATATTTCACCATAGTTGCCATAAACATACAAAATTCCATTCATACAGACTTTACCTTTGTGCTTCACTGCTAGCTTCAAGTGATTTTGCAAATGAATATCCATCTGGTATGTTTGCACGTGAACATACAGCATGGGCATTCATACAGTCCATCCCTCTGAAAAGACCGAAGGTCCAGGGCACCTTCCAAATGGGTAGGGTGCTGAGAAAAAAAAGAAATGTATTTCTTGTTTCATTTTACCTTTAACAATCTTTTCTGTTGCACTTTTTACATACCTGCAACTACAATGTAGTACTTTCACTCTTTACAAAGCTCTTTCATTTTTGGTTAAACAATCTGATTGACCATTTTGTCCCTTTAAACTTTATTTAATTCGTCCCGTGGACACATTTTAATGAAATGATTAACCTAAATTTGCCTGTCATTTTTCTGTTCTCATGGTGGCAGGCATCTTAAACCCATTCATATTTAGCCTAACGATATACAAAACTACAAAAAAAAGGCTTTTAAACTACATAAAATTGCCATATTTTTACAAATTTATCAAAATGACTCGTCGCCATGTTGCGCAGGTCAGTGTTGACCACAATGTTTCCTTCAAAGTCTAGATTATCCTCAATTTCCTAACGAGATTGTCATTCGTTACAAATTATAATAATAATAATAATAATAATACAACCTTTCATGCATGTTAATCAAAATAAAAAAACACATTCAAGTCAGTTTGTCACCACGTCAATACAACTCTTTTGCAAGAAATTCCAATCCTTGACTATGGCAATGCAAACTAGCTGCTAACATGTAACAACACGGCCAGTTATTTTTAAGAATGTTATATATCTGTGACTAATTACATTAAAGAAAAAACTTACAGCCATTGAAAACGTATTTTTACGACGAATAATTCAGCCGCGACTTTTCTTCTCTCTTCATGTGCTTCCCCATAGACATAATATGAGTAGACCCCGCATTGGCTTTCGCGGCGCAGGAATTACGGCCGCCATATTGGGGCGGTCGACCTGGTAGTCAAACCTGCTGATTCAAGCTGAACACACTAATGATGCCTCAGCACTGTGCCGCGTATTTTTGTTTAAATTGACGGACTATTGACGTCAGGGCTCGAGGGATAACTTTTCACAATTAAGATGAAAACATATCTTTACATATATCTTATATATATATCTTCATATATATGTCTATGTGCGTCCCTCCCCTGTTACGTCAGCATTTCCAATATGGCTGTGCTTGATGTGGGCGGAGCTTGATGTCAAGCCCCGCCTTCCCGCAGGCTGCAGCGGGATGCTTCTCCGTTTTTAAACCAGTCGGCCTTCCATAGCTCAGACGCGCTGCGCCTGCTGCTCAAAACGCGCCGCAGGACCTTTTGCTGCGCCTTGACGCGCGTCAACCATTGACTTTGCATGTAAACTCGCTGCTTCTGTCGCGCCAGCTGCGTCCAGTGTGAACGCAGCATTATGGCTTAATGGTCCACCCTTCCCGACCCACTACGTAGTTTGGGATGGTCCTTGATATGGTGGACCCTCTGCGGGAACCTTAAAACAAAGGGTTAGTGCTTAGAGGTAGTGTTAAGAGGACAGTTTGAGATTGGTCCATTTAATAGTAATACGAAGGGCTGCTCTTTTCCAACCTAGAATGGTTACACCTAATATCACCTGCAGGTGGCAATAAGGCAAAGGCTTTAGCTTTGACTGATCAAGCCAACCTCTAATAAAGAATTTCAAGCTCTTGCCTTGCGTGGCCAGTGGGGGGGACAGATCGGAGTCACTATAAATCTGGCGGGGAGACATGCCCCTCCCTGTCCACATTGCCATCTGCACTCATGAAACACACACAACTTTTTAGGATATGAAAGTATCTTGGCTTTTTTACTGTATTTGATTCAGCTCAAAATGTTTGACTCAAACAAGTAATAAGATTGCTTTTAGCGAATGCGGTTACCATTTATTAAGATCACCTAGTTAAGCTATCATATGAGGTTTTTTCATGGTTGACAGGAAAGAAGGAATTGGCAACAGTTGCAAGTGTCCCTATTAAACGAAATAGGTCACATAACAGAATCTTCAAACATTTGTTCATTAGTTTTCACTTCTATAGCACATTTAATCAGTTCATAGCAGGGACAGGAGTGTATGTGTGCATGGGTGCGGCCATGTTTTTGTTACCTAGTGGGGACAATTACCCAGTAATAAGCCACATTTTGGGGACTTATAGGTATTTGTGGGACCAACGACTGGTCTCCACAAGGAAAGGTTTTCTTCTTGGGACGGGAGTTGGGTTTAGGACTATGGTAAATGTTGAGATTAGGTTAGGTTTAGATATGTCTTGTTAATGGTTAGTGTTAGGATATAGAAATAAGTAGGAAATGAATGGAAACATGCAGTGTTGGGAAAGTTCTCTTTCTACGTGAACTAGTTCAAAGTTCAGTTCACACATTTTAAAATGAACTAGTTCAGTTCATAGTTCATAATTCAAAACCAAAAAATGAACTAGTTCATAGTTCTTTTTTTTTTTTCATATATTGCTCAATTACACCATAGCCTACTGTAGAACCACAGACAGCCATTATTTTATCAGTTGTAACTCTGAAACTGTGCGTCAGATTTCATCTTCATATCCAGTTTTGAATCCTTATCCAACCAGGGTTTACATTAGCATTGAGGGGACAGATTTCCCCATTGTTGCTTTAATACTTTGTTGCTGTCCATTCACTTCACACTAGTAGCAGCTGCAGCTTTCACTCCTACAGTATATTCTCAAAAACATCAGGAAAAATGTGCTGCTTGAATGGTCTTTTTTATGAGTAATTATTAAAAGAAAAATAGGAAAGTAGTCTTTAAGGTGCAAATGTTTTTTTTTATTTAAATAATTTTTTCCATTTGAGATTCCATTTCAATACATACTAAAAAGGAATACTGGAATCCTGGAAAATTATATCAGGCAGGTTTAACAAACAAGTTACATGGATAGTAAAACCCTCAAGAACAGGGGTCTTCTATGTTTTCCAGACCAAGGACCCCCAAACTGATGGCGAGATGGAGCGGGGACCCCCTAACTATATATATTGTATGAAATTGTGTCCTATAGTCACTCTATTACAGATGGAGTAATGTAAAGAAATTAATTTCTCCCTGGGATTATTAAAGTTTTTCTGATTCTGATTCCTGGTTGTTGTGAAGGAAACGGTGCCCAGCTTGAAAGAGCTCCTGTGTGTCGCTGAATGTGTGCATTGATGACTGAAAGACATCTTTTGTCTCCATTTATCTGTTTACTACAGTGTGTTGATTTCATGTTAATGAGTATTTAAAGACATTTCAATTAGTGGGGGAAAAAATTGCAGGGGGGGAATATAAAAATATCCACTAACCATGCAGACCCTCATGCAGTACCTCCGTAGACCCCCTAGGGGTCGCGGATCCCCTGTTGAAGACCTCCGCTCAAGAACATTTTACTAACACAAACTGAGGGACCAGGCTGAGGTAGGAATTTAAGGTTACTGAAGTGCGGATTTTTTTACTGAAAGCCGGCGGGCAAACTTGTTGCCATCATCCTTACCGACCACCTGGTCATAAAACTGTTTTAAGTGATCATACTGCTGCTTTGTCGCCTACATGCTGCTGTGGCTTCCACGCTGCATTTTGTTTTGATGACGCACGCGGCTGTAGGCTACGACGCTGGTAGCTGGTGTTGCCAGATTGGGTGTTTTTCCCGCTACATATTAAGGCCTGTTTACGGTGTGATTTAGCTGGGG